GAGTGTCATGTTTCAGGGTTTGGGCGCCCTAAACCCTAAACCCAAACCCCTAAACCCCTAAACCCCTAAACCCCTAAACCCCTAAACCCTAAACCCTAAACCCTAAACCCAATCCCCTAAACCCCTAAACTCTAAACGCCTAAACCCTAAACCCCTAAACCCCTAAACACCTAAACCCTAAACCCTAAACCCTAAACCCTAAACCCTGAACCCTAAACCCTAAACCCCTGAACCCCACGCCGCCAAGCCGCTGCCTTCTCCCTCGAGCTCCTGGCCGCGCCGGGCTCTGAGCTAGGCTGCTCTTAAAGCCGCCTCAAGACTAATGCGTTTAGGGTTTTGGGGCTCCTTTAAAGGGTTCCTTAAAGGGTTCTATAAAGGCTACTACAAGGGTTTAGGGTTTAGGGGCCTCAAGACTAATGCGTTTCAGGATTGTTGTCTTGGGATTTGAGGGTTTAGGGTTTAGGGTTTAGGGTTTAGGGTTTAGGCTGCTCTTAAGGCCGTCTCAAGACTAATGTAGGAGCCTTAATAACTAGAATAGGGTTTTGGGGGGTTCCCTTAAAGGGTTCCTTAAAGTACTTTTAGGGTTTAGGGTTCAGGCTGCTCTTAAGGCCGCCTCAAGACTAATGCGTTTTAGGATTGTCGTCTTGGGGTTTAAGGGTTTAGGCTGCTCTTAAAGCCGCCTCAAGACTAATGCGTTTTAGGATTGTTGTCTTGGGGTCTAAGGGTTTAGGGTTTAGGGTTTAGGCTCTTAAAGCCGCCTCAAGACTAATGTAGGGGCCTTAAGAATTAGAATAGGGTTTTGGGCCCCTTTATAGTATAAGGAACACCCAGAATAATATAGGTAATTATTGAGGCCCCTACATTCATGCATTTTAGGTTTGTTGTCTTGGGGTTTAAGGGTTTAGGGCTTAGCGGTTTAGGGGTTTAGGATTTAGGGTTTAGGGTGTGGCTAAGGATATACCATACCATACTGGAGATACGAACTACTTCTCTAGGACGCCTAATTAAGGAGCTTAGCGGCTGTTGTAGTTTAGGGTGGGTTCGGGATGCTACAATGCCTTCAAGACGCTCGACAAGCGTGCCCACGACACCACCCACAATTCCCTCAACTCTAAACCCTAAACCCTCAACCCCAAACCCTAAATCGTATCCTGGACCCAACCTTCCAGTCTTTAAGGTCCCGCAACCGCCGGCATGATAGCCTAGCGAGCCACTTAAACTCGTAAAACTATTCCGAAGACCATGAACGAAGTCTGAGGGTTTAGGGTTTAGGGACCCTAAACCCTAAACCCTAAACCCAAAACCCTAGAGCATGAGTATCTTCTCCCTGTTCTAGCGAACCTTAGAGAAGATTGGAACAACATCCATCAACAAGCTTTCACACCTCGAGCAAACAACGGTACTAGACAGGACCCTGCCGAACCTATGATGCCAGGTTCCCCAGCGTCCTCTGAATTTTAGGGGCACCCTGCTTCCGTTTATTCAGTGTTTATGAGGGGCTCGGAATTCTAGCAAATGCGCAGGGCCGATACGCAAAATCTATTTCTAGTCCTGCACCAGCTCGAACTTTGTGGCCGTGATCGATTGCACGGCGACCTAGCGACAAGTGCGCAGGGCTTCTGAAGGCTAAGGAGTTTGACGGATTTCGGATTTAGAGCTTCCAGGCTTGAACCTCTAGCGGTTTAGGCTACACGGCTCAAGGAAAGGTGGGCGTCTGCATCCTCTGCCTCCAAGACGGCGATCTGGTCAAGAACAACAGCCCAGTGCTTTGGGGTCTAGAGTATGAGGGGGTTTTGTAGGTTAGATCAGCTTAGTTTAAGCTTTATGGCTTTAGGATATGGGTGTTCGGGGATAGGGGTTGAGAGGGTCAGACTAGTGGCTTTGTTGGAGTTTGGGAGGCCAGTTGCTGATTTCCCTGGCCTCAGCAAGAGAATGTCTTCATGATTATAGCATTGTAGCTACCCAGGGTATCCAAACTGCAGATCCCTGAAGCTGTTTTTCCTATGAAGTACCCTCTAGGAGTTAGGGTCCCAACTTAGGGGATCTACTTTTTTAGATCCTCCCGGGGGTCTGGGGGAAAAGGGTATATGCCACTTACTCAGCGACTGGGGAGTCCTGGGAGCTAAGGATGACGTCAAACCAACCCCTAAACCCCAACAGCTGACATCACGCCCCTCAACCTGAGGCTAGGATTCCAACGATGCCAAAACACCTAATGATGCAACCTCAAAACCCTAAACCTCTCCCTAAACCCCAAACCCTAAACCCTAAACCTCAAAACCCTAAACCCCTCCCTAAACCCTAAACCCTAAGCCTCAAAACCCTAAACCCCTCCCAAGACCCTAAACCCTAAACCTCAAAACCCTAAACCCCTCCCTAAACCCAAAATCCTAAACCCTAAACCTCAAAACACACTAAACCCTAAACCTCAAAACCCTAAACCGCTCCCTAAACCCTAAACCCTAAACCTCAAAACCCAAAGCCCCTCAAGTTGCAGTCTGGGGAGGCTACCAGGCGGCCACCAGCTCGCCAGTCAAGGCAAGCCTCATGTAGGGGCCTAAATGTAATTACCTTTACTAACGGTTTAGGGTTTAGGGTTTAGGGGTTTAGGGTTTAGGGTTTAGGGTTTGGGGTTTAGGGCCTCATGTACGGGCCCAAATATGGGAGTTTCCGAAGGTTAGGGGTACCTTATTTGGGGGGGTCCTTATAATAAGGATCTTACTATTTCGGGTGCTGTATCAGGGTCCCCTATTTTCGGAAACCTCCATATAATTATCTATACTATTTTAGGGGGGTTCCTTCAAAGGGTTCCTTCAAGGGTTCTATAAGGGCTACTCTAAGGGTTCAGGGTGTAGGGGCCCGAACGGTTTCAATAGGGTTTTGGTGGTTCCTGAGTATAATGTTAGTATAATGGTCCCCAAAACCCTATTCTAATTATTAAGGCCCCTATATTATAGCAGTCCCTTGAGAGTGTCGTAGGGTGTTGACACGAGTGTCCACGGGTTTTCGAGTGGCCCTGTAGGGTCGTGCTGGTGCTGTCTCTGGGGCTTTTATGGTTGCGTTTATGGCTTCGTGTAGTATGATAGTTGCAAGCAGGTTCTTTCTACGGGGTGTGTGCAGGGTGCTAGAAAGCTGTATTGGCAGGGCTCACTTGTCTGACACAACCCTAATGGGTCCATGTACACATAGAGTATTTAGCTAGTTTGACCTTATATAGGACCGACTTTTGAGGCCAAATGAGCTAATGCTAATGTAGTGGCCGTAATAATTAGAATAGGGCTTTGGGGTTCCTTGGTATAACTACAATATAATGTACCCCCAAATCCTATTCTAATTCTTAAGTCCCCTATATTGCTAGTCAGGTTTCTGGGCACATCGCACAAAGCTTGAAGAAGGCCTTGCATTTGATAACGATGCATCTCCTCTCCTTGCTTGGGCGGTCGCCGTAATATAGAGGCCTTAATAATTAGAATAGGGTCTTGGGGCCCATCATACTATAAGTATAATAAGGACCCCCCCCCCTTCAAACAAAAATAGTATTGGTAATTATTTGGGGGTTTCCGAAAATAGGGGACCCAAATATAGGACCCTAAATAGTAGGATCCTTATTATAAGGACCCCCAAAATAAGGTACCCCTAATATTCGGAAAATCCCATTTAGGACCCTGCAGTAGAGTTTGTTTAGGGCTCGGGGTTTTGAGCATTTTTAGCGCTGGCTGGGCTTCTGGGCGGGTTCGAGGCCAGGCCCCGTCATCTGGGAGTTTCCTAAAATACGGGGTACCTTATTTTGGGGTCCTCATAATAAGGATCCTACTATTTGGGGTACTATATTAGGATCCCTTGTTTTCGGAAACTCCCATCTCAGGTCGGCACGACTCTGTTTTTCATGAGGATCACCGCGACATCACCGGTAGTGGTCCCTGCATTGCAAAGATCTCTACCCTACTTGGAGGCTCGGGGGACGTAGTAAGTCGTTACTTTAGAGACTTATAACAAGCAAGGGTCTCTTTTAGGGTGCTTATTATAAGTTGTTTACTACCTACTTACTAAGTCCCCCGACCCTCCTCCAGCCCTGAGCCCGCAGACCCTCAACCCCTTAGACCCTGAGCCCTGGTATTATGCAAGCCTGAATGATCAGACTACAGTTTTTGTAGGGGGGGTTCTATTCCTTGGATAGCTAGTTCTCTACATGAGGGGCTGTTGGACGGTCCCTTCTATAACTATAAGCCGTACTACTATATAGAGAACTTCCCAGATAGGTTGTTGAAGGAACTCTGCTTCTGACTCGCCAGGCCACTGCAGTACTCTATGCGAGACAAACTTAGAGATGATAGGCTTCTGACTGTGCCATCGTCCACTGAAACCTAGACTTAAGCACGACGAAGTAAAGCGCGTCAGAGATCGATCCAGCAAAACTGACGCTTCAGACCTGACACGCAAATCCCAAACCCGAAATCTAAGCCCGGAACCTGAAACTGATATTCTACATCGCGAACCCTATGGGTCCAAGTACCCAGAACCCAGGGATCATATACTCCCCAAAGATAACGACCCCTGCATTAGACCCTAAACCCTAAACCTTGCACTACGCCCAGTCGCAGCTTGCAAACTATAGGTCCGGTCCCGAAGAGCAGGTCGTACTCAGAAGAAGTTCCCTAAACCCTAAACCCCTAAACCCCTAAACCCTAAACCCTAAAGTAGTGAGCCGCCGAGCCGCCGGGCCACATAGGTAAGCAAGGGGCCTTCCGGCAGGTTCGCGCTGAGCAACTGTTCCACGACCACCATGCGCCCGTCTTCGGCCGCCATGGCACCCGCTAGTTCTCGGAGGCGTTGGCATGCCGTCAACAAATCTCGGTCTTCGCGCCGCGATTGCAGGAACCCTTGCTGATCCTGTGAAAGGTTTCGAATCGAATGCAAATGCACAGAATACAGGATATAATAAATATAATAATATAAATAATATTGATAAAAGTAAGGGTTTGTAAATTTTTATTTTATTCTTGTTTATATAAATTAACTTGAAAATAGCGCGGTGATCGCGCATGCGAAGAGACGGTGCCCGTCCGGTGGGACGTTGAGAACCTTGTCTGCTCCCATCGTCAGGGCCCCGGCATAGCTGCGTCTGCGTCTTTCTGCTTCCGAACGGGCTTTAGGGTTTAGGGTTTAGGGTTTCGGGTTTAGGGTTTCGGGTTTAGGGCTTTAGGGGTTCAGGGTTGAGGGTTTCGGGCGGCCTTCGACACCGTGGGCTCCGTTTCATCTGTTGTTTGGAGCTTCAGGCGTAGTGTTTAGGTTGAGGTCCAGGGTCTGCCGTTGGTTTAGGGCTTAGGGCCCCTGTCTAGAGTCTAGGGTTCAGGATTTAGGGTTTAGGGTTCAGAGTTTAGGGCTTAGGGTTCAGGGTTTAGGGTTTAGAGTCAAGTGTTTGGTGGCTAGGTTGAGGTCTACTTGGAGGGTCTGGAGACTTAGTAAACAGTTAGTGTGTTCAAAAGAGTTGTAAGTATCATGGCCCAATTTGAATTCCTAAACCTTACAGCCTAAAATGTGTACGGGTAGTTTTATAATTAGGGTCCTTCTTGGTCCCCAATATAGTACGGCACCCTTATATCAAGGACCCCAAAAAGGATCCTAATTTAGATAACTACCCGTATACTTGGCGCCCTAGGAGAACATGTTGGAAGATCGAAACCAACGGCACGATTGCTGGTCGGCGTCACGCCGTTCCTGCAGTCCCCCCAACAGCCGGTCCCACCCTAATTAAAGGCTATACCGCCTAAAATCTTCTTGCAGATCGTCTACAGACATAAGGTAGGTAGAATCCAAAAACTCTAAAACCCTAAACCCTAAACCCTAAACCCTAAAACCCTAAAACCCTAAACCCTAAACCCTACCCTAAGGTCGATTTCTTAACTAAGGGTCTTCGGGTTCTCTTCGGCCCACGCATGTCGAAGATAGATCCGCGCTGAATGACGTCCCCGGAGGGATCCCTCTGCCTACTGGGAGGGTCGGGGGACTGAGTAAGTAGGTAACCGTTTAGGGTTTAGGGTTTAGGGTTTAGGGTTCAGTAGGTAGCAAGTGACTTCTAAGTACCCTAACAGGGATCCTAATTGGGGTTATGATACTTATAAGTCTACAAAGCAACTACCTACGAAGTCCCGCGACCCTCCAAGTAATGTATGGGGTCTGACCATCCACGGCTGCATGGAAGGGTTCCATAGGTTTTGTAATGGTCTTTTCAAGCAAAGCAACGATGCCAGAAACCCCGAAAACTATACCCTAAAGTGACCAGAACCCTAAGCCCCGAGACGAAAAAAAGCAAAACACCAAGACGCTAAACCTTAAGCCCCAAGCCCCTACGTGATTTTTAAACGGTCCTAAACCCGGGCGCGCCTGCAAGTAGGTATTCATAATCCTGCGTGTAGGCTAGGCCTGCGGCGCTGGCTAGAGGAGATCAGGGTCTGTTTGGAGGGTCGGGAGACGTAGTAAGTAGTTGGATTAGGGTTTAGGGCTTGGAGGGTCGAGGGACTTAGTAAGTAGTTTTTTAATAGACGTATAAGTGTCATAACCCCAATTAGGAATAATAAGGGTCGCTTTTCGGACACTTATAAGTCTACTTATTACCTACTTACTGAGTCCCCCCGACCCTCGAAACCCTAAACCCTATACGCCCTAAACCCTAAACCGTAGACCCTAAACCCTAGACCCTAAACCCTAAACCCTGAACCCAAAACCCTAAACCCTAGACTTAGACCCTAAACCCTAAACCCTAAAGGAAGGGGAGATGAGCTTGGCGGTTTAGGGTTAGACCCTAAATAAGCCGTGGTGTAGGGCTGGGGGCTTCGAGCCTCGGATTTCGGAGTGCTTGTGGGCGAAATACGAGGCTTCAAGGTTTAGGGTTTAGGGTTTAGGGTTTAGGGGTTTAGGGTTTAGGGTTTAGGGTTTAGGGGTTTAGGGGTTTAGAGGTTTAGGGGTTTAGGGTTCAGGGTTCCAAAATGCCATGACTAAGGAATGGAGGGTGCCTTTGCGGCTCCTTTGAGGATCCATGAGGGATCTCTCGGGTTCGGAGTTGAGGTCTCCCAGACCTTCCACAAATCCCCTACTTGAGGCTTAGGGTTTAGGGTTTAGGGTTTAGGGTTTAGGGTTTAGGGTTTAGGGTACCATATGAACTAAGGTATATTCCTTAGTTAAGGGATCTTTGAAGGTCTGGGCAGGTTCAGGGCTTAGGGCCTAAAGTCTAGGGTTTGGGGTCTGTGACGTGAGGTGTTGGAATTTTGGGAAGGGGATAGAGATTCGAATAAC